GTAATAAGTATAATTGGAATAATACTGCAAACTCTGAAAACATTTGGTTGTTGAAATCACACCTTTTTTACCACACCAAGATATATTTTATTGATTGAGTGTTAGTGATGACTGCCTGCTATTAGTCAGATATGTAATGTGATTTGTCGTCGTCCGAATAGCACATTAGTAGCATGTCTAACTGATGTACAAAGTTATACTTCGAGAGGGCATATCATTGCTTCTGAGTTGGCTGATACACCCTGGTGAAGAGAGCTAGTAAGCATGAAGACAAGTACAGCATCGAGTAAACAGTGTTCATAATCGAGTTTTTCGGCTGATTTTGTAGGACTGTTGCGTAATGTCACTCAACTATCTTGTCAGTCCACGTGCGTGATGCGCAGGGTATCTGACGCATATAGAAGATATTCGGCCAAGTTAAACTTTAGACACCAATAACTACCAATCAGCGAACGACGTCGAATTATCCAATGAGATTCACGAACGTAGTTCAATGTTGTATAGCGCTTGATTCATGTCAGTGCGTGCCCTTACAAGGTTGCGTTTGTAATTCGAGGAGGATAGTGTCTTTCAGTATTGCCTGGACTTAGGCTTGCTTCGAAAGGAGAGAAGTTGTTCGTGTGATGGTGTTATGACTCTAAGAAGCTATACTAGGTCAACTGATGGTTTTGTACATCGTTGTGGAATATGCTGGAAGCGAGTTAGTATTAGAGAGGGTAATATTTCGTAGGAGATATTTTTGCTACGTCGCATCTCTCCCTAACCCAGATTTTGTACATTTGCAATTACTGAGTACTGAAACAGCCCGTGAGAGCCTCTGCTGCCGAGACGGAGAACAGCCTCGTCTCAACAGTTCAGTGGTACCAGCACTGCAGAGACATCGCCTCATGGAGAATGGACAGAATTACTTCGTTGTTAGGCGGGGACGACGTAGTAGTCCATGTGTATGAGACAGTGTTGGTGAAGAAGAAATATAACCGCGGTCGTCAGAGAGAGAACAACATTTGGGTCATAGGTTTATACGACACGTCCCTCCGAAAAGGATTTGTTGAGAGAATAGCAGACAGGAAGGAGACTACTCTGGTACCTATTATAAAGCGACTTGTGAAACCGGGATCAATTGTACATACCGACGAGTGGAAAGGCTATGATTCATTGTCATCCCTCGGATACATTCATCACAGAGTGAACCACTCCAGTGATTTCGTGGACCCAGTTACAGGGACTCATACAAATTCCATTGAAGGATTTTGGGGTCGATTGAAAAATAGAGTAAGGGCTATAAATGGACCTCAAAAGGATCTCATTTATAGTTATTTAGATGAACATATGTATAGAATGTGGTGTGACTTCTCTATTGACAGTGCCATGCTGAATTGGGAAATGTTTCTCTCCCATGTTCGGGAAACATACCCATTGTAACCGTTTTATCATTTTTTTGTGCATTTTTCTATAAATATACGTTTCCGCTTATCATAAACGTCTCTTACATGTGATTGGTCCGTTCAAGGTCGTTTGCTGATTGGTTGTTATTGGTGTCGAAAGTTTAACTTTGCCAGATATTCAAGTGTGGTTTGCAGGGATTTGATTGGTTTCAAGATATTATTATGAACTGACATCGGTTAGATAACCGTTGGGAAACCACCAGGGAGTAACGAACATCCGTTTCGTCCTAGTGTGTAACCCTTCAGTAGCACGCACCCACCCTCAAGTTTCAAACTCAGCATCATCTTGTCACAAGGCTCGCTCACAGACCATGAGGCTTCTGTGACTTGTTCCAGTGACCAACCCATGAATTGCAACTTCTTGATATATGTATAAAACTTGGGCACTGTGGTAGAGCGTAACTCCATTATGGATAAGATTTTATTTTGATAAATCACACAGTGTTACACAGTAATATTACTGTTTCGACGACGTTTCGAGCACAAATTAGATATGTACATAAACGAAGCAAGAAATTCATGTGAGTACCTTGATATGATTATGAGCAATAAATTAATCTAGGAACGTCATAACTAAGTATTACTGTATCACACTGTGTGACTTCATCAAAATAATATTTTATACATGGTGAAATTATTCTCTATGTCCACTTGAAGTCCTGTATTTGCTTCTGCTACTCTCAACTGGTTGGTTTTCGCCAGCAGATTTTCCAACTTCCGTGACATTAGGCATACATCGTTGGAGAAGTCCAGGTCTAATAGAATCTTCTTACCTGCCTAACGTATTCTTGTTTTCTCTCTGCCCACAGTCCATTTTAGTCCTCTTAAAAAGTGCCATTGTTTTTCAGAAAGTGTTTGGATACTCTTGATCTTAGAGACTATTCATGTTCCCCTCACCCACAAGTAAAATCACGAAATCTATAACGCTTCGTACTTCATTAATAGCGATATGTAAAGGAACAACTTGGACGGACAAAGAATTCCAAAGGACCCAATTTAATATGGTGACGTCCTGTAATTTGCAGTCATTAACTGTTTTCATTTCTCAGGATTACTAAAACTAATGTATACTCGACGGAAACAACGATGTGTGGGAGATTTCTCCCCAGAATGTCAACAAAAATTCTCTACTAACAAACAAGCATGATTCTGTAACACCAGTAATTGAATAGATGGATTTCGGGACAACACAATGGGATGTCATACTGTAATGGGGTTCCCCACCCACATATTTTCCGCATTAAACACTATTATTAACTTTGCAGTCGAATAAGTTAGAGCGGTAACTGTATTCAGCAAACAATTACTTAGTGAACGCCTTTGATCTCCTGTGGATGAAAGTCTTCACCACGAAGGTACACAGTGTATATCGGGGAACTATGTGGGATGTCTATCATAATTGTACAAGCTTTTCATTTTGCATCAGATCTGTACAGCCTAACACGATTGCCTTTGAAAACAAATAGATGACTTGGTTTTTAAAAAATATGTAATTAAGATCACAAAACTCTCTAATGGCAAATATTGACCCTTCTATACAGATAGATGATAATTAGACGTGAAGGTGGTCATGTTTTCTTATATTCCTCCGGAAAACTGTTGACATTTGAGGATATTCATTTCTCTCGAAGAACATCAACACTAAGAAATTATTCACCATAGTGAGAATTACATTTCCTCTTCCAGTTGAAATTAACATCAGTTTGCAAGGTGTCCTCGTAGGCTTAAACTAGAACAACAGAAATTCTTCCTGAGTTTTAATAAACTCGATGAAGTAATGATTGAATTTTTCTACTTCACAACATAATTCTACGAATGCTCATCGCCATCTCTTCAAGTAGCCTAAATTAATCTGTCAGTGTGTTGTTTTTAATCATAATTCACATTAACAGGAAGAGAAATTTTATTAAATAGGTATATATTAGACATGTGAACATATAAAATTTACAAGGAGAGATTGTTGTAAGTTAATATAACAAGCAGTTGAAATAAAGCAATGAGTGCATAATCAATTACAAAAACACAGGATTGTTACTGTCCATCACACAACACGCAATTTTCATCTTCTCTTATTCTGGAAAACAAAAAAAAAATTAGGAAAATTATAAAATCTGGGTGGATGAATATAGATATAATATTCAACTGAAACTGCGGTGACAGATATTTTCCTTATACTACAGTTATAACAACAGTGAACTTTGTGTGGTCACCTATATTGTCTTAGTGGAAATATTCGAATCAAGATAATCATTAAGGGAAGCAAACACACTTTCGGAATACGCTCTCAGATTATTTTTGATGATATGGATTGAACCCATCTGACTTTATATAACTGTGCATGTGATTCGAGAGTAAAACATACTTGTATCCTGTTCAACTGTGATTTTGAATTTACGTTTCACTGTTTTATTTTTAAAGCAGTCCTGGAAGATTCTAAAATGTTTACTTCCAAATTCCAATTTGGTAAACTTTATTCCATTGAGCAATTAAAGATACATACATATACATATATATGCCCAAACCAAGTTTACTTTTAACACTCTGAAAAAATTTAGGCATTTGGTACATGATATTAATTATTTAAAATGTTTCTGTATTTCTCATTGAATGAAAAGCAAAAAGATATTGTTGCTTTTACTGACGTTTCGCTATTCAATGCTGCTAATAGCTTTATCAGATTCGTAATATTATACCAGAATTTACAAAATCTGAGCTTATATACAACAACCAAGTCGTCGTTCTTCAGCAAGATGGAATTTACATCTGTACAGTTTTCGATATGGTGAATATAACAACATGTAGTGTAGTTTGTTGGATTTGATAGATGTATAAAATTTCTAAACAAATCCGAAGCACTGTCCTATGACTCAATTGATGTGCCGATTGAATTATGTCAGGATATAGTTGTATTCTAAATGTACTTATAATTCACAAAATTATTATTGTAATGTTGTGGCGTGTGACATTGATAAGATTTATTACTGGTATATACAAAGAAGTTCATCGGTAAAGAAACACCAGATAGCGGAGATTTAGGTTTGAAGTCAAAGTGAGCAAATTATTCAAGGTTTCGCCAAAACATGTGAGACACGAAAAGAAGTCAAAGAAACACAATGCGAAGTCCGGAAGTAGCAGAACATGGAAGATCTGTGCAGCAAATGACGATTTTCAGATAAGGTGTAGATAATTTCGCTATATAACGATACCAAAATTACAAATAAACATTCCGTCACCAAGCCTCTTGTCTTCTACTGTCACAGTAGTAGTAGTTACACATCCGTTGGGCCAATTTTATGATGTCAGAATGAAAAATATAAAATGACTTCCACCAATGTCTTCTAAATGTTTACCTTATAAATGTCATACTCTAGCCAACTTTGACACACACACAGACACAAAATCTGTCAAGATCAGTTCTTGTTAAATCTACTCACAGTTTCTCACGGTCAACGAAAAGACTCCTCTCTTACTGAAGCGTGAAGTTGAGTGCTTCCCATCACAAAAAGAGAAGTAGACATAGTTTAAATATTTATTTCCCATGTAAATGTTTCTTACTCCACAAACTTCATTTGGTGGTGGACAGATAGCCTCCCCAGTAATCTGCTTCGTTTGAATTCTTGCCACACCTGATTGACAGGGGAACGGTTGTCCACCGACAACCACTTTGAGACCACCAGAACAAGAAATCTGTAAATGCGTTAAACAAAAATTAAGAGAAAATTATCCACTTTTCTGATTTATCACACATATAAATACTCCCCAGGAAGTACACGAAAGTGTGAATGCTCAACAGAGCAAAGTAGATCACTAATAATAAATTTTAATGATACTAATAATAACTTTATTCTGAGCAATATGTTCACATACAGTACAGAGTTTTCAACTTGGTATTATCTACTGTCTAAATAGAATCTTCAAGTAAATCTAATCTACATTATACGGTTAGAAGGAATTACGTTTTTCATACATTTGGTTCCCTTGATAAATTTCGATAGAGAAAGAAAGACCAGATTTGCAGTATAAAATGATACGTTGATGATACTTTTATTGTTTGTAACGACATGAGTCAGGCATCCGTATTATTTGACCGCCTAAATGAGGTCCACCCAAACATTAAATTCACCATGGAATACGAAGACAACGATGAGTTCAATTTCCTAGATCTCAATGTAAAAAGAAGAGAAAATGGAACGGTCGAAAAGTTCATCTACAGAAAAGAAACTTGGACCGGACAATACCTTCACTACAACAGCTTCTGCCCTATGAGCTATAAGCGGGGATTAGTAAGGACACTGTACGACAGGGCTAGGAAGTTATGTTCGCCCAACAAGATAGAAGAAGAATTGAGCTTCGTTGAAAAATGCCTTAAGGAGAATGGGTATCCAAAAAGATTTATCCTAAAGTACAGCAAAGAAAGAGATGAGAAAGAGAAGCATCCAACAGTTGAAAAGAAGAAAGTATTCATTTGCCTCCCAAACAAAGGAGAAACAGTATCGCGAAAGACTGAAAAAAGGATGAAAGGAGCAATCAAGAGATGCTTCCCTGCAGCCAATCTAGTGACACTATACAGTACTACATGCTCTATAAGCCAATCGAAACTGGATAAATACCCTGCTGATGTTACCTCCAACTGCATTTATAAATTTACGTGCACCTGCGGCAGCAAGTACATCGGAAGGACAGAAAGAAGGGCTTCTATCCGGTTTTCAGAGCATATTCCGAGAAACTTATGCTTAAAAGGAAGCAAATATTTACAAAGTGCAATTACCAGACAACTTGTGGATACAAGCAATTCTGTTGAGATTTCCAAATCCTTCAAAATATTAAACAAACAAAGGACAGCGAATCTACTACGATTTGCTGAAGCAATTGCAGTCAAACGTCTCAGACCAAACTTATGCACACAGAAAGAGAGTGTAGTCAATCTCTCACTCCCTTGGTAACCATATCACTTTCATTACAGTGATTACTCATAGACACTAGTGAGTTCCACTCACTAAGCAAGTTTTAAAATTGATAAACTTTGACCTTGTTGAGTTGCCATGTTGACACTGTTTATTAGATTTTTCTGTCTTCTCTCACCCCCCCCGTTTTTCTTTCTTTTTTCCATAGTTTGATAGTATATAAATTGATGGTAACTTAAACTAGAAAAAAGAAAATTTTGATCCTTATATTCCGGATGCGTTTATCTTATAATGCTTTCTGTATTACCTTTCAAACTATGAAGTATGAAATGTTATTAATTATAACCATTGTAATTTCAGTTAGTTTGCAGCCGATGAGAACCTGTGAAATAGAATGATATCATTTTATACTGTATATCTGGTCTTTCTTTCTCTATCGAAATTACGTTTTTCTCTCCAACATGCTCCGACCCCTGTCATATTTGTCAGTTCAAGGCAAACCAAGCGGTATGTTGGAAGTCATTCATGTGTGTACAGATTCTTCTTCAAGTAATGAGTAAATAGACGGTCAGTACAAAGCATAACTGAGAACGGTTGACGCATTCTGCTCTGTAGATCATTAGGTAGCCCAGCAATTTAAGCAGCCTGCCATTTTATCCACAACATACAATAATCTCATAGCACTTCACAGATATAACGATGGACTGGGAGGAATCTTGTGTCTTTGAGCTTATAAGAAAATATCATTGGTGCCTGTCTGACTTCAAAATATCACCATAATAGGGCTGCATTCTTCAAAACATACCTGATGACAAGTGGCTTTGACTCGAGCATCTCTTGAAACCAACCCATTCATTCTGGCTTCCCAAGCTCCCTTATGCCGAATACACACTGAATTATTGCCGAAATCTTGACCGAACATATTTCCTCTTTGAGCTACAAAGAAAATACAATGTAAGTGAATTTATTACACATGAACTCTGATTAGTGATATTAATTTCGAATTCATAAGTTATTAAAATTCTAAAAGTAATTCACTTTCACCATATGAAAGCTTCTTTTACATTACTAAGTGGTTAGACGCATGACACCAAATTTAAGTTGAAAGTATTTACCCTACGATTTTGAAAGAAATCCACAAGAAGCAATAATCTAATCTAAAGAAAACATTTGTTTTTGATAAGGCATAGAATCCTGACTAAGAAGTGGACACCTTGCAGTCACATGGAATGATAGTCGAGTCACCAGTTGTGATATTTCCTAAGACAACTGTAACAAAGATATGGTGATCGACGTATTCTCTTTAAATATATATGTATATATTCTTCTTTGTCTAATGGAAGTGGATTCGGTCCCCATTAGCTGAAGAGTTAGTTGACAGGTACAATACTTAAATGTCACATTTGAAAAAAGTGTCAACTGGTAACTCTGACAAACATTCAGGTTCTTCTGATATCAAATACATTTCAAGCATGTCAATGGAAGATCAGACATCTTGGCCAGAGGAGACAGGCAGTGGGAGACTCTGGGAACCAACAAACCAAGAAACTATTGCTCAACAAACGTTCCGAGGGAGGTGGAGATGGATCACACACACAGTGAGAATACCGTTGAATGGCATTACCTGTCAGCCAACTGAGTAGAAGCGAATGGTCGTCCGCTGAACGTCCGACGATGGTATGAAGGAGATTGTGTCAGGTGGAGATGATAGCTTAAAGACAATCGTGTAGCCCACTAAAGACAGTTGCAGAGAACGGGATGAAATAGAGGTGTTCAGTTGAAGCCTTATGTTCCATTCGAAATAATAATGATAATAATAATAATGCAATTAACTTTGAGTAATACATATTTGAAAAGGCTTACCATGTTGTCTGTTTAAATCATGGTTACAGTATGTCATCAGAGGCTCTTCAAAGAATGTTTTCATCGGCTATTCGTCCATAAGGTGAGTCAATAAATGAACGAAGAGATATCGAAATATGAATATATGCAATGCACAACTCTTCTCGTAATATTTCTCAAAATGCTACTACCTATCTGCTTCAAACCAAAGAAAGGAAGTCCGAAATGCGTTTGTTCAATCAGTCTATCAAACGATTATTCTACTATTTTCGTAAGAAATTATTACTTAGTGAATGAGGAAATTTCGAACACACTTCAATGTTCGTAATCACATCAACTGTAAGTACACAACTTTGAAACTTGATTTTCATAGTTTTATTTCTTATATTCCAATCGTCGATAGGGTAGATGAATTTCTCAGACGTTGGGGAGAAATGCTGAATCATGCGTATTGCACATATTACCAGTTAATTTTATAAATAAAGCTACATTTATCAATCTGTCACTCAACCCTGTTATACTAGATTGTAATACTGTCACCTTCTCCTGTCATATTGCAAGCTTGTATGAAACTGATTGCGATGTCACGGTTGAGCTATTTGCTAGATTTATTATCTTGTTAGGGTGAACTAAACTACGTTTTCCTGGAATTATGCACTCCACTGAACTAACTGACCCCGTCGTGTTATCCGGTCCTATGTATCTGACCTGACAGTCATCTTAGGGGATTGGATATACTAGATTATTTTGCCTCGTGAGCTCCACAGGATCCTTTAACCGACGTAACTAAATTCCAAATGAGTTTGTGGATTATAATGCCACATTTTTCTGAAAACAAATCACTTATTTCTGGAGAGGATCTCTTTCCGGCGCATCCATTCACTTACCTAGGCGAATTACATGATCAAGTTTTAATCATATATTACTTTGGAGAAAGACGTCTGATGGTTTCAAGAGAATTATTATTTCGAAATCAAACCAATGTAAGCTACTTAGAGAATTTCCATTTTCATCTAGAAAACAAAATACTTCTTTAACGAATAAGGTTGATGAACTCCGATATATGCTACTAAATATTATTGACCAGTATAATTTCCATTTAAAACACGTAATTTGAAGAATACGTGATATAAGATTTAAAGATTAGACATTGAATGCACTAACCTGAACCATTGGACATCTGTCCACCAGTGTACTACTCCCGCCTTGATTAGGAATACCTCTGAAATATTGCTCAGGTGGAGGTAAACTTGTAGTAAACTGAGCAACAGAACATAGTCCAAAGGCGGTTTTGTGATAACACATCAAATCACTCTTCTCTTCACAATACGGTTCAATACTCTTTCCCCTGAAATATCACAAAATGTCAATATCAATTTGAATTCATCTTCCAATGAGTAAATAAATGTAAGATTATGCAATCAAAGCGAGTGTACTTCCATTCGAGCAAATAGTATAATCTGTAAACATTCACTATGACACTCACTGATCATGCATTGGATGACTTACTGTTGCTTCATTCTGCTGATATACGCATAACAGCTTTCCATTACAAAGCCACAGCCGAGTCCTTTGCCATAGTCCCATTTTTCAGCGAGTGAGAAATCGACGTCCCACCAACTATTATTGGAAAAAGGAAATACAGTCATCAGCATCCAAGAATAGAATTCGAAATTGTGAAATGGAAACATAATTCGAGTGTTATTTTTTATATCATTATCCTTATATTTTCTGACCTGAAAGGAATGTGTTTTATGTAACTTTGTTTATTATCCACATGATAGCTGTATACTTAATAAATAAACACACTTATTGAAGTATGTCTTGCTCACTTACAATTAACCCAGTGTAATGAAGTTAGGGAAAGTAGGATAGGCTTAAACAATGCTCATTTAACGTTAAATTACCAAATGAAACTCTACTGACAAGTTGTGACCAGTGAGGTTCGGCAGATTGGGTCTGAGGACAAATATGCATCGATGATATTGTCAAGTAGTAGCACCACTGAATTCTGAACCAAGTTGGTGGGTGATCGACGAGCTTAGTTTCTTAGTTTGAATACCCTGCATTCCGTCCCCAATTGGAGTCATTGGCACGTAGTGACGAAGAGTCACAAACTAGGAGGAAACAGCTGTCGAGTACTACCTCCTGGTTTTCAGTGGTTCTCTAGCTGGTATAAATCCATGATCATATTATTTGATCTATCAGTAAATAACTATTCAACACGTCTATTATGGTTGAATGTTTAGACTATATCTCTACAACTGTGTTATTGAGGTACTCTTTTTGCAATGCTGAGTTTGCTTAATGACTAATCAACTTCTCCCCCATATCTATTGAATCATGGATTAAGTACTCAATTAGACATGAAGAGAATGATTTTTTTGAACCGAAATTTTCCTCTACTGACGTTTTGATTAGGGTTACAGTTTATGATAAACTAATCTAACCGAGGCGAGTCGAATGTGTAATTCACAGAGCTGAATAACTCCTACTCGGGACTCATCAGATAAATTACCTCATACTTATTCATCCATGGCGCTCCTTTTGAAACTAGAATTCGAATTTACCTTTTCAATCCTGGATTCAAGCATCACTGCGAAAACCAATACCCACTTACAATGCAGGTACATTTATATGACCAGGCCCAAATACGCCAAGTCTTGAGACTTGAATAAACCTGCCAACCACCATCGACCAAATGGAATTAGTAAAACGGTATGTCATTTTAATGCTCATCCCTAAAGAGGTTAGAATTAATTTAACCACTATGAAGACATCCTGCTAGCTGTTTGGCATACACAGTGAGCTAAAACAATTTCGCATTCACAATAACATGAAAAGTAATGAAAATAGTATATATTTCGTAAGAATTCACCTGCACAGGTACATCAAAAAAAGCTTTTCGTCTTTTAACTCACCCAGAATCCTTAAAGAATGCCAGTGTCAATCGTGATGCCACTGTCTTCACGCCAGTTACACCTGCCATAATTTCATCCTGTAATAAATAGTGTTCAGGCATTTTGTATATTTGTATTGTATTAAACAGCACTGAGAATTGCTAAAACGAGCACGGATCCTAACACGTTGTCGTTTTGTTCTAATCAAAATTTTGATTTTATTTCTGGTAGACTCTACACCAGAAGTGACGTGTTGTAATCACCAGGCTACCTCAATTTCTATTCAGTATGATGCACAAACTCTCTACCACAATATATTGTTCTAATCATCTATTAGTGTTCTCGAGTCACTAAATGGACCCGCACATATTTTCCTTAGGTGTCACTCGTAATTCAGAGCACTACTCAAAGGAAATGAGGAGAAACGTATCTTTTAGGATTTTATATTGCTTCAGATGTAAGAGCCTGTTATCACACAACGTATTGCTGAATACTGTTTAACAACAATGACAAATACATCTTCAAAGTTAATAAAAGTTTTCAGGTTATTGACTTACACCAACTGTGCGTTTTTCAAAATGTGTGCCAACAGTTCCTTCACCACCTTCATTCTCTATATCAATCCCATCCAGATTAGGACAGTTATAGTGTTTACGTCCTTCAGCCTTGTCAAATGAAATAAAATAAAACCTTTTAACTAACATTGTAAAGAGATAAGCAGTTTTAGATTTATAAGGTTAAATTTTTGGAAATACAGGAATGAATGGATATGTAGGTAATTTTTGGAGAAACGGTCTGTATTTATCAAACTTCGTATTGGATCTGAATTACGTTGAGGTATTCCTCTGAACTGTATAGACGTTCCGATGGGAATTAAGGAGATGTGTACAAAACGTGTGATGCTACGCAACATACTTTATACTAGGTTGGTAATCTCGTTTCATAACCACCGACAGGTGCATATTAGGGCACTACTCAGTCATGTTTATTACAGCAGTTATATATCTAATCTATATCATATGACAGCTGTACAAACGTTATTCTAGTACAACAACAGATCTACCGCACATGCGAATTCAACTGTGTTTATGTGTATTCTTTAGATAAGCCTGGATTAACAGCTCACTAGAGATCAAGTGAGTTGATAACTGCCTCACTAGACCGAATAGACGTTTTCAGCTCATGATCGAACTGTGAAACCGATGAAATCACTGGAAATGAAAAAACACTGGAAACTTGATCTAATCATCACTTGTGACTGATTACAAAGTGAAGTTGAGTGAAATTTAAGTGATGAGCTGTGATCACAAGAGCTTCAACAAGTCAGATATGATGAGAAATACTCGTCCAATTAAATTGGCCTTCGGTGTCGCTATCCTACGACTTGGTGGAGAATTACTATTCATGGACAACTGGTTGCCATTCCAGTGACTAGATAGTCAGCTGGCAAACTCGAAGATATTTGGTTCGATTGCTTGGATGAAAACTACCAAAGACAGCCTAAAAAGCAGGAACGTGTTGTCCAATATTATGTGGATTTCGATGGTTCCCCAACTGATATGACGATTACCTGCAGTATAGGCTGATACCACAATGCCTGAGCTTATATTTCTGAAAATTACGGTTTTAAGTTTTTAAGGTTTTACTAATTTTCATTTTGTTAATTCCATTGTATTTATGATTTAAATCAGTAGCATTCTGACATCTATTGTCAATTTACGAAACACAAGCTTCACAAGTTATTCCTGTTTATTTAACCTGATATTTCAGATAAAGTCACAATATTTTTGTAAGTAAACATACCAATAGTTGTGGAGTGACAAAGGATAAAAATTGTTTGCTGAACGATCCCACAGCTGAAATCCATGGACGATTGATGAGTTTAACAGTGTCCCCACTAAAAAATAAAATAACAAATGCACAATGAGAAATTTCACCTTCCATATAAGTGAAAAATAATCTGTATCAAACAGAACCAAAAAATGTCCTTTCTTGTTTCTTCCACAAGAAGTGGTCCTCCACATTTGACAATCTTCAGTAGAAAGTAACCATCAGCACATTATTATTATTTCGGTTTATTATGCTGAATACAAACTGACAAATTCTCTCCTCTCCATGTTCGTCTCCAGTTGACTGATATTCAGCCACCACGGATTACAATTTCAAAGAAGTATTACATCCACTTTCTCAATTTTTCATCATCATCAACTTTTAGAGAAAACCCAAAATTTTACTTTGAAATTTATCTGGAAAATAGAAGTTCACAGGGAAGCAAAAGCTGTCTCACCTCGGTACATATTGTCCGCGATCATTCATTGGCGGTTTGCCTGTTTTCGGATCTCTCGGTGTTCTGGGATTACCATTCTCATCACGCATTAAAGCATAGCTAGTTCGAACAAATCCCTACAGATTAATTTGGAAAATGAAGATAGATGTTAAGTTGTTAGTATGATAATGGATGAACCACTAATCGCTATCTATGGATGAGGCAGAAATGGATGATGGAATAAGATTTTCTTACAAACAGGAAACGATATGATAATATTACTTTCTGATGATGTTTGGAGCATATTTCATTCCTGATAGACACGTGAAGAAATATAATTTTCCAATGTTATTTGTACATATATATCTGCTGATTGTCATTCTTTAATTTTATCTCATCATAAAAATATTATTACTAATTATTGTCTGATGAGATATACATATGTCAAGTTCCCGTTGTGTTAATATAAAATCATCTAATGCTTACCGAATGTAGTTAATGAGCTCACGACTATGCGGCAGTGTGGAGGATATTGCAGTTCGACATAAGATGTTACTCAGGAATCTCTGTCCATTGAAGACTTCTGCCTTGTAAGTTCTTGCCAGCAAACTATCATTTCATTCCTTCACCCTCCCAATGGAATATAAAGGCTTCAAGCTAGAGCCTCGAAGTTTCGGTGGCAGTGGTGTTTATGTTTACGGAGTTGGGTCGCTAGCCTCACGACCAACCTTCCCTCTTTACCAGTCTTATTACTGACTTAGCCAGTGAAAGGAGTGCGCCGGCCGGGAATCAAACTCCGAGCCACATATGTGGTTGGTGAGCATTCTAACACCAAGCCACCGATGCACGAATTAATGACAACAAACATATTCTTAAGATTTCCGCATAATAAAAATCAATAAATTATTTGCTGGATACAATCGAAGGAGGGAAATCACAACACTATGTACCTAAAGATTCTTGTATATTTGTTTAAAGAGGAAACTATGAGGAACAAATTGAATACGATGACTGAATTGCCAGTGTTTCAATCCAACACAGGGTTAATCATTAAAGCAATTGATTTGCTTGATGTTCTACATGCTAAATCAACTAGAAACTATAACGCATTAGGATCAGTCAAGAATTGTTTTGTGAGCCATTTACACTTGCATTTTCACGAATTCTTTGGATTCATCTCGCATATGGACTATTCGGACAAATACCCTAAAGTCTTTAGTACAAAGTTTACTCAATGATACGTGGTAAAGGAGTTGCCCATGTGGACTCCAACATCAACAGACGACAGTGCATGCTCTCAGTCAGAAATGTCGATGTGGGATTGTGAGCATATTCATGCAGTATGAAATCATTCGTGTTGTAGAAGAATAACCCTCCGAAGTCATTAGAATACTTTCCGGCTTCCCAGAGATTGTAGTAACACATTGTTGCTAAATGAGAACAGCAGACATTTTATGCAACTCATATACATCCAGCTGACAAGTATCAAGTAGGACAGAACAAGTCGCCGGGCTTTCATTGTGAACCACGTGAATGAAACGTGAAACAGAAATTAAACTCAGTCGATATTATGCTTATCTTCTCTCTAGACATTCTGTATAGATTTATGTGAAACGTTATTTCTGCCAAGTGATCAGGAGATTTCGGTCACTTACCAAAGCATGCGCTAACTCATGAATAGCTGTACCGACCAACATCGTCTTTCCTGGTTCATCTACTTCCATTTTCTGTGGGCAGAAGTTGATTGCTCCCATAATTGGTCTGAAGCAATACGAAGAGAAGGGGACATTGACAACAATCTAATTCAACTTAATCAAAAACCTCTGATCTCTGCTTTTCTAAACATTCTCTGTCTTTCTCTCTGTCTATGTATTTATGTATATCATCCAGCCTTGTAATAAATTAGTTGAATGCGATAATCGAACTCCTGGTCAACACCGGCTATTCTGACTCAACAAACTCCTCCATCAAAGCAATATACAGAGTGAAAGACAACCTGTTAAAAACAATAAGCTCTCGTCTTCTCTGCAACGCTGAAGCTCTAGTCATGCAGAAAGAGGACCTGGAGCTCTACATTGAAAGAATATTTCCATCCAACTCTACCAGCATGGTGACAATCTGCATCACTGTGTTGTAAAATATCTCAGTTTTGTAGACGTAAATTCTCGACAGGTTCGAAGTCTAGGTGAATGATTTCAAGCCTACTGCTTACAAACAAGTTAGTAAGGTAGCCAGAGAATAATTTGTTATTAGTCAACGCAAAATTTCAACATAGTAATACAATGGGCTTTTGAAGATGTAGGTTTATATTTACCCTGCTTTCACTGCTTCTGGGGAAGGGGGCTACGGGATTCAACCAAACAGTATCATCTCTCTGCTTCGTTGGTTTCGAGTTTCTCAAAAATATCAATTCATATACATACAGATACACAAACATAAACATTCTAACCTGTCAGTTGTTGGATGCATTTCACATGGACCAGCAAACGCTAGTGTTGATCCACTAAGACAACCGCCTTTATTTTCACTCTCCACAAATATCACATATTCATTCGGTGCAAATCCTGGGCCATCTTGATACACATCTTTGAAATTTCTACCATCTGATGACTGAGAACATCCCTTGTTGTGTGAAAGAAAGAAAGAAAGAGAACAAATCATGTGAATACTGTGAATAACTAATAATCAGTGTGAGAGATGATCATATTCAGCGTGAAAGTAGTCTCTGAAATAATGGAGAAGGTTTGTAGCTCGAGGAGGTGTTTTCACTGTGTCTGTGCTCTCTGAATCAGTTCAGGTATCTGCGTGACTACATCATTATTAACATCGAATTCATTAAATGGTCTATATACGCGAAAATAAATGACTGTTGTCAGAATTACTTTGCAAAGACCTTCAAATTAGCACAACTACATACATGTATGTGTATATATGTATATACTTAATCATCATAGATATTTGGTTAGACAACATTTGCCCTACTATCATCAGGCATGATTATCTTATAGATTTATCATCCAATCAGACTCAGAGTAACACTTTAAACTTGGGTCAAATTAAACGACGTCCACTCACTCACTGAATTCATTTTGAAAGTAGTTTTTGGCATAGTTAACCATCTTTTAAATAAAGATGGTACATGCATGTGCACACATGAAATGTTATCTGATGAAATTGTTGCGAGTGAGTGAAGGCTACTCAGTAATACGAAAAGAATTTGACAATGAATACGTGAATGGTTCAATGACAGAATCCTTGGCAGTCACGCACCTGACCTGGGTAGGACTCCCAGTCTATGCACTCCTTCTCACCTCACCAGTAAGTTAGAAAGATTGGTCGTGAGACTAGCAGCCTCATCCTGTGAGAAACACCACCACCATCACCACCACCACTGAAACTCTGAAGCTTGAACTTGAAAAACTATGTCCAATTTGGAACTGGGAAAAGTGAGACGGTCTTACTATAAAACAGAATTATCTGGATACGAGAAGATCTAGAAGTAACTTGCTTCAGTAATTCATTTTAATCACTCTTCTGTAAGGCAATTCACTCTCGTCCTGTTTGTTTTACTTATTCAGCAATGAGGTAGAATTATAATTTACATTGTGGGTTTCTGTTAGGATTTCCATTAGTCTTAGTGCAGATTTACTCACGAACGAATATCAGATGTTAGTGACATTATTCCAAAGCGGTTCATTAACAAAAATACTTACAGAGACACATTTTGCCTACAGAAACCTCCAGTTCGCTAATATCTACTGGATGGATATCCTGAAGCTGTACCCAGAAGTGATGATCACTGGTTGACGACGTCACTATATCATGAATTGACAGATTCAGAATTCACAGGTCAGTGAATTTCAGGCCAATTGACTGAGTGGTGAACGGGCTGAGTCTCGTAAACTGAAACTCCTCAGGCGAATTCCTGATGTGCTTGAGGCTCTATTGAAGTCATGGGTGTGCATCATCACTAAAGAAATACAAACTAGAACGAAACAGCTGTTCACCACTGTCTAGTTTTCAATAATTTCTAACTGATGTTGATTTGTGATGAAATCTACACAGAAATATAAATTTCAAACCACCCAATGTCTTTTACAAGCTTACCATTCTAATTCATGATTTTGAAGGTGGGTGATGTATTTATTGTAGTGGTGAAACAGTGTAATTTTGACTAAAGTAGTGAGTGACCAGTATTACGCAGTTAAATAGCAGATTACTTGTGAAGGACAGAAAAGTAGAGGATATTCTCTTTAGTTTTGAGGAGGTTCAGGTGTAACGTTCACTGAGTGTTTGATAAAAGCAGACAAACTGTCTGACTAATATTCACATCAAATAAATATGCAACCTCGATACAGGTATTTTGTAGGTGTATTCATGAATGCAGATGCTTTATCTAAGAAACAGGAATGCATTTCACCTCAGTCATGACAGTGATACGAATATACACCAAAAATGCATGATACAGTAGATGCTGCTTACTCAAAGTGAAGATTTGGCAGTCTCTTGTAAAAGAAATATGTATGCTGAGCAATTTCAGCATGCAGACTGCATAAGACACATTTCATTGTCTTCCTTAAACCATTTCAGAATAATTCTGTTCTAAATCTAGTTCATAAATCACAATATCTGTGTACTTGAATGATTTATCAACGCGTCGAATACTGTCAGGCAGTTTCGTCTGAGAACCCTGCAATTACAGTTCATATGCATAATCGGGAATCATAGTGGAAATAGTTTTCAGTGGGATTGATTGAATAACGCCTTAGGATGTATTCCCTCCTTATTTATTATGAATTATTACCCACTCTTTCATCCTACATCAAAATGAGCTAAACACAAAACTTACTGAGGCGAACTGATCTGGTATGGGATGTTCGTAGCATTTCGCTTGAGGTTTACACTTGTCTTTGCAAAACTTTCTGCCTGAAACTGGTTCGGTGTAGATATACGGTTCGACACATCCTCTATTGAAAAAGAATTCAAATACATACATACATTTATGCTTTGAGGAATAAATTTTACATTGAATGAAAACCAGTTTAACTGT